TTTAATTTGAAGTCTTCGTAGTCTGGAGTTCATTTTTCCTGAAATGTTAGTACACACAAGAGCAAATACAATTCTTCTAAAAAATGTTAGGAGATAACTACACATTTGAACAATAATGTTTGAAATCATCAAAACTTCATAAGTTGCAAAAATGTAAAGCATGCAAATAACAACTATCTTAACAGACTCTGCATGCAGTTGTATAATGTCATTGTAACCACCACTATTTTTACTTGCTTCTTGAATAGATATGTAAACATATCACGTAATATTACCCACTTCTTTTTTAAAACACTAAATGATCAATCAATTACACCTTGTTGTTAAGAGTGATGATTGTTAAATGTTTCTTTTCTCTCACATATGGATTGACTTCTTTAAAAATTTGAAATATGATACTTTGTACCAGAAAAGAACTTCAAAAACTTTTGTTGCATCAGGTATCCAGCATCCACATGTTAATATTTATCTGTTTGTAATTGCATATTATTAAGTTAAAAAACAGGTATATTAGTCGATTACAATACTTACTTGGTGGTGGTATGTTTCGGTCCTCTTCCCCATTCCTTAGAAAAAGTGAGACACTGGTTCAAGACCCAAAAAACTCAATCCTTTAAGTGAAATGTGGCAAAAGGAAGGAAAATCCATGGACCGACCATAGACCCTGTTCAATAAGTGAAAGGCATTAGTTGTCCACTCTCCACCTTCATTTGAAAATTTTGATGGTATAGGTGATCCCAAAAAACATATTATGCATTTCTAGACTAATTGTTGTAATATTGGGGGCAGTGATGCACTATTATTCAGGTAATTTATAAGTAGCTTATATAATATCACATTTTTATTGGAACACTGAAATTCCTGATAGGTAAATTTATACCTTCATTGAATTAGAATTATTTCTAAAAAGATTTGTTGGTGTAAAACATCATATCACAGTTGGTATCTTATAGTAGAGAAGCACGGACTAGTTGAAAGTCTAGTAGATTATATCTTGAGATGGAAAAATCTTAGTATGAGATGTGAGTAGAATTTAAAAAAGTAGCATGCTTAGAGATACCATTAAAAAATAATCATAGTTTACTAACCTTTTCACTGAAAGGATTTACAATCAAAATCTTTAAGAAGTTATTAGTTAAAGACTTTAATTTTCAAGAGGAAGCCTCCCAGTAACTATACTTAAGAGATCAACCTTCTTTAGAAATGAAAAAGTTAAAACCTCAAAAGATTATGGAAAAGAAATAATGATTAATGCTCACAAACAACAAAGAGAAAAAGATGATGTAAATTCAAGAAGAAAATCAAAGTCGTTCTCCTTAGTATATGCTGTGTAGCAGACCACATAATTATCAATAGTTTAGACCATATTCTGATTTCATTTTAGAAGAGCGAAGATAGAAGTTTGAAGCATTTAAAAATAAAGTTTTTAGGTTTAAAATAGAGGCTATTAAAACAATTTTAAAAAGTATTTTAGAAAAAAAAAAAAACTTCCAATTCTTAAGTGGGTGGAAGATGTAGGTAAATCGGGACAACCCAAATATTTCCCACTTCACCCGGGGATTAGTCATAAGTTAGAAGATTGTATAAATTTCAAGAAATGACTTGAGAGAAATATTAAAGATGGGTTGGTTGTGATACCTATTGACCTTATTTTTTGAGTGAGGTCAATTTTCAAAATTAAACATCTAATCTTTATTCACATATTATTACTACACCTCAAACTTCAAATTAAACTCATCACTATGCTTTGTCATAGTAACCTGATCATTGACCCAAAAAAATAATGCTTAATAGTCAACCTTGATTATCATTTGATTATTTGATCAGTCAGTTGACAATCACCAAATGAATGTTAGTGATATGATCATTGTAAAATTAAGACAATCTTTGACCCTTATTGATCAACTCAAAGCTCAAACAAAAATCAAATTTAAAATCCATCAGTTGATAATCACCTCATTATTTGTTCAATCACTGA